GGCTAATGATGCCGTGTGTCAATGATGATATATTTAGAGGATGCAGCATACATCGACTTGCAAGTACAGTGATTATTATTGAGAGTACATCGGTGAGATTGATGTACAAGTAGCTTTGTAAATGATTATATATAGAGAAGATGCAGCATACATCGGTGCAATTGATGTGCAGGTACAATGATTATTATTTGAGAGTATTCAGCGCGATTGATGTACAAGTAATATGATGTAAGAGATGTCCCCAGAAATAGCAACTATAGTTGCGCCGGGTATCACCGTCATCAGCTGAAAGCATGATCTGTAGCATCAGTCGGTGGTTTCCCTCCTGCATAAAGCAGGCCGACTGACATGAGGTTTGAAGATTACCGTGAAATGGTAAACTTCTGCCTGGGGATGGGAGGTATTGGGTGCGAATCTCGCTTCTTGCTTTTGATGTGGCGATATCTGACTACTGTTGTTAGGCAAAACTATTTTTGGCAAATGGCAAAAGTCGAAACTAAATCCGGCAAAAGTCAAAACTGGCAAAACTCCGGCGAAACTATGGCAAAATGGCGAAACTCTGGCAAAACCTTGGTAAAGCTAAAACGCCTGGAGAAAGTCAAATACAGCGAAGATCAAATCCTCTAAGACTTTAGAAAGACTGAGCCATGTTGATAAATTAAAATATTTTGCGTATGGCTATTAAGCACAGCATGTGACTTATAATATACAGAAGCAATAAACAAAGCGATAGCCTTTTGTTTGTATTCGAGTATTATTAAAAAAAAACTACCGGACTTCAGGCTTTTGCACTTATAAATAAATTTGTCTTGAAAATTCAAAGCATGAAATCCTGTTTTCTTTTAGTAGCACTATCTATGTATTAATATTATTCATGTAAAATAAACATATCTAAATATTTAAATAAATTTATTGTTATAGTGTTAAGATTTTTCTTTTTAACATTTTGTTAAAATTTTAATTAAATATTATACATATGTAAATAATTTAACATTATTATTAATGACAATTAATT